TGTACTGATGAACGTGGTTGATCCTTTGAACGTGGAATTGGAGAACTATCAGAAGGAAGTTTAAGGGTCTGGGTATGTCATTAAAGGGTACGTCCCCATGAACTTGACTTGACCCACTTGGGGGAAAAAAAAAGTGCAGTGGAATGCTTAGTAATTTTCTTAAGCATAGAAGTTCATTTCTTCTGTATAAAATCATTCTCAGCTACCCTCTGAAATTAAATGACATTCCAAATGCAGGTCTTAGGGTGGCTTTCACAGGCTTGTTATGTGCACAGGGAGCAATGTGATGTAAGTACGGTATAATAATGGTCTCTTTTTTCTTTTCACTAATGATCATTCACATATATGTTCTCCAACTTTATTGTTTTTTAAAAACATTTATTTATTTATTTGGCTTTGCCGGGGTTTGGTTGTGGCATGCTGGATCTAATTCCCTGACCAGGGATCAAACCCAGGCCCCCTGCATTGGGGGCTTGGAGTCAGCCACTTGACCATCAGGGAAGTCCCTTTGTTGAGTTAATGTTGCAAGAGGTAAGTGTGAAACAAGTTACAGGTGACACATTCCTCCCTGGTCTTGCCCTGTGTGCTGTTACACTAGCAGCTGTCTACACAGGATCAGCCGTCTACGCAGCGAGTGCCTGTGAGCAAGTAGCTGGCAATGCAAAGCCTTCCTGGATGCATTAATAGCAGAGTCTCGCCTCCACCTCCTTACTCTTCCCTTGTATAAATGTATTTCTCCAGGGATCTACAGGATTTTTTTTTTCTCTATTTTTAGTTCGTTGATAACTTGAGAAACCTCCCAGGATCAAAATCTTGAATAGGGAAGATTCAGTTCACTCAGTCTTTTCTGAATCCCTAATCGATGTTGAAAATGAATCTGAATGGGAAGTCCATGGGTCAGAGAATGTGGTGCGGAGGAGCACAGACTCAGAAACCAAAACGGCCTGGTTTCGAATCCCAGCTCCTTTTGTGACTCTAGTCGCATGCCTTTGGGCAGGTCCCTTAAGTGCACTGGGCCTCAGTTTCCTCACCCTGAAACCTTATCTCATAGGGTTGCTGTGAGCATGCAGTCAAATCAACTGATACTTATAAAGTGCTCAAAATAGTGCTGGATGGTCAAAATGTTTAAAAGATGACTCTGGGTCCAAGGCTGTAACGCGCAGGCCTTAGGGTCTTGAGGTTTGAGCAAAGGGGGCTTATTTTTCCTCAATTAGAGTAGCAAAGCACATCCTACGTCAGGACTTTTTAAGGAAATAAATAGCAGGGGGACTTGACTGTGAACCCCAGAGTTCGTTTGTTTTATTTGAAATGTATTTCTTTTTGGCTGTGCTGGGTCTTCACTGCTGCACACAGGCTTTCTCTAGTTGCTGGGAGCAGGGGCTACTCTCCAATTGTGGTGCACGGGCCTCTCATTGCAGTGGCTTCTCGTTGCAGAGCATGGGCTCTAGGGTGTTCGGGCTTCAGCAGTTGTACATGGGCTTAGTTGTCCTGTGGCACTGTGGAATCTTCCCAGCCCAGGGACTGAACCCATTTCCCCCTGCATTGGCGGGCAGAATTCTTGACCCCTGGACCACCAGGGAAGTCCCGAACACCAGAGTTTATTATCAAGCCTCTTTCTAGCTCAGTAAATGTGTCCACATTCTCTCCTTGGAAGAGCAGTGGCGATTCTGATAGATTTGTAGCCTGGCCTCCAGCAGGTAGCTTGGTCTGTCGGGGTCACTTTTGTAAAACTGCTGGAAACGCCATGGTGTTTCCTGAACTGACTGGGACTCACCCGGTCCCATGAGCCCACAAGCCCAGAGCCTTAAAGTGGGTTCCCCGGCAAGGGGGTTTCCGCGTTATGGTTTTGCTTGCTTCGGGGGCTGGGCTGTAGGAGAGATTAATGGGAAGTGAAAAGAGAAACAGTTGTTCTCAACCGGCAGGTCTGTTTGGAGTGTGTGACTCTTCTTGTATTTAGGGAAAAGATTACTCATGAGTATTTTCTTCCATAGAATATAAAGAACCTCAAATTACTACTTGCGTCCCCCACCCCCTTCTCACCCGCCTCTCTTGTTTCCGTGTCTCCTCTGCAGAAACTTCAGCATTTTACTCTCGTTTCCCCTCCCGAGTGGGATTCGGTTCTGTATTTGCCTTGGCACTCGCACTTCCAATAAGCAACCCCATCCTTTTTCCTGTTTCTGACTGAGCATCTTCTGCTCTGTGGTCCTCTCACCGCCAGGCACTTCCTTCAGCCACGCTTGGCCGGTCCTCGTATTTGTCCCCGAAGGGCTGACTGTGCTCTCACTGCTCATGTGAAGGAGAAGAAAAGTCCCCAATAACTAGTCACCCCGCTGTTCCTCTTCAGAGGTGACAGCATTGACTGCGGAGGCCAACTCTTAAGGTTTCTTCACTGGTCAGAAGTTGAGATCTTGCTGAGCCGTTTTCATGCCCATCCCTACCTCCCTAGGTCCCAGGTATGCATCTTTAAGGTCATTGGAAAGAGTTGGGGTACCTCCTGTGTCCAGGAACCATTTTTTAAAACTTTTAAGAATACAGTTCTTAAAGAATACAGTTCTTAAAGATTACAGTTATCACCAAATATTGGCTGCAATTTGTCTTCCTCCAATTTATTTCACTTAGCCTAAGGCCCTCCAAGTCCATCCATGTTCAAGGACCATTTTTCATAAGCATTGCTTCTTGGCCCAGTCAAGAGTCCAAAACAAAAAAAAAAACCCTGAATTCTTTAGTGGCTGTGTGTATTCTAAAGATCATAGAGCAGTAACATATTGCATGGAATTATTTTACAGTACCCCTTTATTCCCCATGTGAAAAAAAAAATATGAAACTTAAAAACCAAGAAAAAAACTCTATGTTGCTGTATTAGTCACTCAGCCATGTCCGACTCTTTGTGACCCCATGGACTGTAGCCCACCAGGCTCCTCTGTCCATGGAATTCTCCAGGCAAGAATACTGGAACGGGTAGCCATTCCCTTTTGCAAGGGATCTTTCCCACCCAGGGATCAAACCTGGGTCTTCTGCAAAGCAGGCAGATTCTCTATCATCTGAGCCACCAGGGAAGCTCATCTCTAATTTCAGTGCCCATAGTTCTTTATTTCATGCCCAACACAGTGGACCAGTTTCAGAGGGACTCCCCCAGAGCTCAGGTAAACCAGCTGCCATTCCGCAAAACTAGACTTTGCAAAGGAGCCGCCTGGAAGACAGAGCCACTGGTCCTGCCCAGACATCCTGGATCTTTTCAAGGTCACTGAGCTATTCCATTTCCTCATGCACCCAGGAGGAAAAGTAGCCCGTCCAAATAGACCAGTTCTTTGTGATGTTTGACAGGTGAAAGGCCCTTCTTTCCAGGGTCAGACTAAAGGACACTGTCAGAGCACACTCAGAGTCCCCTTAGCAAGTTTAAGTAACCACCAGTAAATAACAGGCTGAAGTTCCTCTTAGCAAACATTGATTCTGTTCTAGTTGAGCTGTTAGTTCATACAATATTTTAGAGAATAAAGCACTCTTGAGCATCTGGCTTTTAACCCATCAGTTCTCAAACACTTCGTTTCAGGATTTCTTTCGATCTTTTAAAATTATTGAAGACCCCAAAGAGCTTTGCTTATGTGGCTTTTATCTATCTATGTGTGCTATATTGGAAATTAAAACCAAAAATTTTTACTATTTGTTGTCATATATATCAAAATATGTGTTAACTTGCTGAAAAATAATAAGCCAAGTATATGTTAACATAAATATGTATTTATGAATATGTTTTTCAATACCAAAAAAAAATAAGGGAAAGAGTGGCATTGACTTACATTTTGCAAGTCTTTTTCATGTCTGGCTTCATTTTAAAAAAGGCTGGATTCTTGTGTCTGCTTTAATATCACATGCTGTGTAGCTGCTAGGAAATTCCACTGTATGCTAATGAAAGATTGAGAATAGAACAACAACAGCAGAAAAAACAAATAATCTCTTCATAGTGTTACAAAGAGTTTTGACTTCTTAGACACCCTGAGAAGGTCTTGGGAACCTGGAAGGGTGCCTGGATCACACTTTGAGAATCACTGTTCTCTAAACCACTTGTATGATATGTCAAAGGTTTTCCCCAACCACAGAATAAAATGAAAACACAGACTCACAGTCAAGCTTCCAGACAGAGATCCAGCCTGAGCCATCCTCTTGGCCTCAGGGGCCGCCCTCTCTGCAACCCAGTCCTGGTCCTACTCAGAGTGCACGTGCCACCCCCACCAGGCAGTTCTAACATGAACAAGCACCTGTTATCCTTACCTTGCCCTCTCACTCCCAGAGGCCAGGCTGATAGTGTCCCCGAGACAAGTGAGTTGCTCTTTCTGGAAGAAGTTGCAGGGAACACTATATTATTTGACATCTCTGGCAGGTCCAGCCCCACTCTGAAACATTCTCACTTTAAAAGGACACGGGGCTGCCATCAGATCAGTTCTGTGCATGGAATTCTCCAGGCAAGAATACTGGAGTGGGTTGTCATGTCATACTCCATGGGATCTTCCCGACCCAGGGATCACACCCGGGTCTCCTGCATTGCAGGCAGATTCTTTACCTCTGAGCCACCGGGGAAGCCCTGTGATTCTACACTTGCCTCCAAAGCCCACTGACATTATTATGACTCTGCATCCCTCAGGTGCTTCAGGCCACCATAGAGCTGCACCTTCAGGACAGACTGGGAACCCACACACCCCTGGAACTGGAGCTGGGCAAGGAAGAACAGGGCTGGGAGACCTATGGCTCCTTAAAGACATGAAAAGCAATTCTCTCCCCCCACACACATTTTGCCTCTAAATAAAAAAATTCACTTGATACCACACTTTGACACTCATGAAGCTGGAGTTCTACCTGAGATTCAGAGTTGAACCTTAAGGGCTCTTCAGACATGGAGACTGAGTTTTGTTAACCATTCAGAAATCTTTTCCCTTTATTTCAGCTGTCTAACTGATGAGATCTTTTTTCTCTCTTTCCTTTCTGCCTTGCTGTCTCTCCAACAGGCTTGCAGCCAATGTTCTGGAGCAGAGATGACGTAGCCCAGTGGCTCAAGTGGGCTGAAAACGAGTTTTCTCTAAGGCCGATTGACAGCAACACGTTTGAGATGAACGGCAAGGCTCTCCTACTCCTGACCAAAGAGGACTTTCGCTACCGGTCTCCTCATTCAGGTGAGAGTCTGGACTCCGGACCTGGGCTCAGCCTGGGAAGTCTGGTCTCCGGCGCTGGCCTTTGTCACTACTCACCCTCCCAGGAGATCTCCACGTCAGGTCGCCGTGAACGCAGGGGCAGTGACCCTGCTTAGTGGAGGGCGGATCCTGCTGACGTGGGCCAGTGTGAGGGGAGAAGAGGAAGGGTTTCCAGGTCCGGGAGAAACTTTCAGGAGAAGTGACCTAGCTCAGACCTATAGACCCTGGAACTTAAGGGATCCAAGTGTACCACCATATAAGGAAGAAAATCCGTTCTTGCCCTTTCTCTCCACCTTGCTTCTGATTCTGAAGTGTTTCAGAAGAGATGCTTGAGAGTGAGTGTAGAATGCAAACTGCTTATTTAAAAACAGACAGGAGAGGGCAGGGAATGAGTGCTACTGAGGCAGGAGGAGTAGAAGGGGAAGGAGAAACAAGCGAATGGGTGAGAAGGGCTGGGGAAGGTAGAGATCCTTCTGCCCAGGCAATTTGAGACCTAAATTCAAAGGGCTTTAGGTGATTTCTTTTGGAAGTTGTGAATTTTTTGAAGTAATGAATCTTATATTGAATAGTTTGTGTGTTGGTATTAGTCATTCAGTCGTATCCAACTCTTTGCAACCACATGGACCATAGCCCATCAGGCTCATCTGTCCATGGGATTCTCCAGGCAAGAATACTAGAGTGGGTTGCCATTCCCTTCTCCAGGGGATCTTTCCAACCCAGGGATCAAACCTAGGTCTCCTGCATTACTGGCACATTCTTTACCATATGAGCCACCAGGGAAACCCAAGAATAGTTTGTACAACTCTTGAAGGATACAAGTGACAGTTTCCTCTGGCTCATCTAACAAGAAAGATTTATCTAAATAAGGGCTCCTAAAACCACATTTCTCTCCAACAGGCTTGCAGCCAATGTTCTGGAGCAGAGATGACGTAGCCCAGTGGCTCAAGTGGGCTGAAAACGAGTTTTCTCTAAGGCCGATTGACAGCAACACGTTTGAGATGAACGGCAAGGCTCTCCTACTCCTGACCAAAGAGGACTTTCGCTACCGGTCTCCTCATTCAGGTGAGAGTCTGGACTCCGGACCTGGGCTCAGCCTGGGAAGTCTGGTCTCCGGCGCTGGCCTTTGTCACTACTCACCCTCCCAGGAGATCTCCATGTCAGGTCGCCGTGAACACAGGGGCAGTGACCCTGCTTAGTGGAGGGCGGATCCTGCTGACGTGGGCCAGTGTGAGGGGAGAAGAGGAAGGGTTTCCAGGTCCGGGAGAAACTTTCAGGAGAAGTGACCTAGCTCAGACCTATAGACCCTGGAACTTAAGGGATCCAAGTGTACCACCATATAAGGAAGAAAATCCGTTCTTGCCCTTTCTCTCCACCTTGCTTCTGATTCTGAAGTGTTTCAGAAGAGATGCTTGAGAGTGAGTGTAGAATGCAAACTGCTTATTTAAAAACAGACAGGAGAGGGCAGGGAATGAGTGCTACTGAGGCAGGAGGAGTAGAAGGGGAAGGAGAAACAAGCGAATGGGTGAGAAGGGCTGGGGAAGGTAGAGATCCTTCTGCCCAGGCAATTTGAGACCTAAATTCAAAGGGCTTTAGGTGATTTCTTTTGGAAGTTGTGAATTTTTTGAAGTAATGAATCTTATATTGAATAGTTTGTGTGTTGGTATTAGTCATTCAGTCGTATCCAACTCTTTGCAACCACATGGACCATAGCCCATCAGGCTCATCTGTCCATGGGATTCTCCAGGCAAGAATACTAGAGTGGGTTGCCATTCCCTTCTCCAGGGGATCTTTCCAACCCAGGGATCAAACCTAGGTCTCCTGCATTACTGGCACATTCTTTACCATATGAGCCACCAGGGAAACCCAAGAATAGTTTGTACAACTCTTGAAGGATACAAGTGACAGTTTCCTCTGGCTCATCTAACAAGAAAGATTTATCTAAATAAGGGCTCCTAAAACCACATCAGGGCTCCTAAAACCACATCAGGGCTCCTAAAACCACATGGAAAAGTTTCCTTCAGTAAGAAGCTTTGGTACCTACAAAATGTATTGCTGATATGGATAAGAACTCAAACAGACTTTCTAATTTCACTTCTCACACTTGATGAATATTTTTTCCTTAAATTTTTTGTGATGTGGACCATTTCCAAAGTCTTTATTGAATTTGTTACAATATTGCCTCTGTTTTATGTTTTGGCTGTAAGGCATGTGGGATCTCAGGTCCCCGACCAGGGATTGAACCTGCTCCCCTTGTGTTGGAAGGTGAAGTCTTAACCACTGAACCACCGAGGAAGTCCCCTTTGTGGATTTTTAGAAGAGATTTGGGAACTCTGTGTGTCCAAGGGGAACCCTGGTCTCGGGCTTCTGCCTCTTGAGGACAGTTATTCAAGGACCCACGGGTCCTGCCTCTGTCAAGTCTCCTTGCTGCCCCCACTTTGATGTCACTTGTCTGGCAGAGACCCTTTCTTCCTTGACTTAAGGGCAAAGGTCCCGCACAAGGTCTTGGCTTTTTCCCCAACTACGTTCACCCTTATTTACTCCTGGAGACCAGCCAGGAGTTAATAAACTAGCTAACCGTCCTGAGGAAACAGCCTGTCACACAGGGCAAGATAAGGATGTGTATAGAACTGTAGTGTTGCCCCAGCTTTTCCTAGTTGCAGCAGAACCGTTTAGAGGAGGAAATGATAAAGGGGAAGTTTCCCCCAGAAGTACAGATGTTCATGGAAACTTGAAAACTTCTACAGCTGAAAACCAGGGCACTGTGAAGGTTTCAGCAGGGACACAGACATTCTTGAAACATTTCATCTTCCATTATTGGTTCTTTCTGTAGCCTCAGGATAAGAAAACTGTAAAACAACGATATAAATAAATAAAACCAACCTGAAAGGAACCTCGAGAGTTCCTTTTAATTTAATGCAAAAACACTTCCCTTTTCTGTTCCAGTGGAAACTCAGAGATTAGACTCAAAGGGGCAAAGTTACCCATCTGGAGGGAAAAGTACGCTAGCTCGTCAGTGTTCAGGAGAAGTCATTCATGTCGGGCAAACACAGGAAAATACAGTGATGTGTTTTAAGTTGACTTGATTTAGACCTTGGGCATGCTTTCCTCTTTGTAAATCTGCCTGTCCCTCCCCTCATATCTCAGGTACGCCCTTTTTTTTTTTTAACTTTCTGTTTTGTGCTAGAGTATAGCTGATTAACAGTGATGTAATAGTTTCAGGTGGACAGCTAAGGGGCTTAGTCATACATATACATATGTCCAGTCTCCTCCAAACTCCCTTCTTATCCAGGCTGCCATAGAAACATTGTCAGGAGCTTCTTTTTGTTGCTGATTTTTTATTTCTCCAGTGACTTCTCAACTTTCCTTAAAGCTGGGAGCAGAGACATACCAAACCTGTCAGTACATCCTTGCCAGTTTGTCGGGTGTTTGCAGGGAGAGCCGTGTGAAGGCCGGAAGGGAGCCCGCCGCCCCACTGAGGGCAGGATCACACCGAACCTGAAGGCAGGGGCAGCTGGGGAAGGAGAGAGCAGAACGAATGGGCCTCAGGAAAGGAGGGGGGCTGCTCTGGAACGTGCAGGATGGAACTGCATGACGGGTCACTGGAGCAGCGTTAACTTGGGTTTGGGTGGCCGTGAGGAAGCCTGCCTGGAGCTGGAAGAGGCAGAGTTAGGCAGGCGCATTAGTCGGGACGTGGCTGCCATAGCCTCGGTTCGGAGGGAGCAGCAGAAATTTATTCTGTGAGTGTTCCCTGAGCAGCTCCATGCCAGAGGACGAGAGAGCTGGCTGAGGGAGTTAAGGGAGAGAGAAGTGATTTCCGGCCACGTTGTCAGACGAGGCTCGGTTGTGTGCTAGCTGAGCCAGACTTTGAATGCTCTGAAAGGTGAGCAAGAGGCCAGGAGGGAACGGTGCTGCGGAGGAGGTGAGACCAGTTCATGTGAAGGAGCACCTTGGAGAAGAGTTTTCTTTTGAAACACTGTTCATCATTACTCATCACCCCTCACCCTCGTCTGCTTGCCGCTTCAAGTTCTGCTGCTTTCTCCAGGAACGCTTTCCCTGACTCTCCCGTCCCCATATCCCCGGTTCCACTCTGCCTTCCTTTCCTCCACATCTCCCCGCCTCAGTCTGGGTGAGGTGCTGGTCCTCATGTGTTTTCCTTTTGGCTGCACCACATGGGGGATTTTACTTCCCTGAGAGAGTGAACCTGTTCCTCCTGCGTTGGAAGCACTGAGTCTTAACAGCTGGATCACCAGGGAAGTCCTGTTGATCCCCTTTTCTGTTCAGTCGCTCAGTTGTGTCCGAGTCTTTGTGATCCCATGGACTGCAGCACGCCAGGCATCCCTGTCCTTCACCATCTCCTGGAGCTTGCTCAAACTCATGTCCATCGAGTTGGTGATGCCATCCAGCCATCTCTGTCATCCCCTTCTCCTCCTGCCTTCAATCTTTCCCAGCATCAGGGTCTTTTCCAATGAGTCAGCTCTTCGCATCAGGTGGCCAAAGTATTGGAGCTTCAGCTTCAGCATCAGTCCTTCCAGTGAATATTCAGGACTGATTTCCTTTAGGATGAACTGGTTGGATCTCCTTGCATTCCCCGGGACTCTCAAGAGTCTTCTCCAGCATCAGAATTCAAAAGCATCAATTCTTTGGCACTCAACTTTCTTTATGGTCCAATTCTCACATGCATGACTACTGGTAAAACCATAAGTTTGACTAGATGGACCTTTGTCAGTAAAGTAATGTCTCTGCTTTTTAATATGCTGTCTAGGTTTGTCATAGCTTTTCTTCCAAGGAGCAAGCGTCTTTTGATATCATGGCTGTAATCACCATCTGCAGTGATTTTGAAGCCCAAGAAAATAAACTGTTTCCACTGTTTCCCTATTTGCCATGAAGTGATGGGACCAGATGCCATGATCTTAGTTTTTTGAATGTTGAGTTTTAAGCCAGCTTTTTTATTCTCCTCTTTAACTTTCATCAAGAGGCTCTTT